CCATAATCCCTTCAAAGTGGCTGGCCTGAGAGTTGATCCTGGTCCCTGTATGGAGTGATACAGCACATTCTTGCACAATATTCTGAGCAAGGGAGGGTTGACTTGGGACACAGCTTAGAACCAAGGCCACAGAATAAGGTAAAATAAGAGAGATGACCATTCAGATAATAAATATTAAACATAAAATACTACACACTGAGTTTCCATATTAAAAACAAATAATTTAAGAAAGGAAATAGCTTCTTTTTTACAACTGGGTAAAACTGGCTTTGAAAATATATACATATTTTAAGCAGTGGTTTATCCACTACTGGAATGTTTTCATGTATTTATTCAGTAATTTTTCAGTAAATACTGCACATGAGGCCCAGGAATACAGACTGCAAGGGATACACAGATGCACGAGTCACATAGCCCTTTCCTTAAGGAACTCATAGCCCAACAAATGAGAATTTGAGTGGTTCTGCTGGCTCTGGTGCCTACATTTTACTATGTTTGATCACACAGCAGTCTCATCAACTTATCTAGGTATTCTGACTTGCCTTTGCTCCCCTTTCCAAGGCAGCTTTTGTTATAGCTGACAGTCACCTCGGTCTCCACCCTGGTGAGCAAACACAATTCTAACATGTTTCCTTCTCTAGCATGATGCTGCAGGACAATCTGCTTCTCCTGAAACTCTGCACACAGAAAAGGCTGAGATGCATGCCACCCTTGACCAGGTATTCATGGACACCCACTACTAGGGCCCTTTACAACATGCAGTTCTGCTCTGAATAAGTGATTTCTCCAGAAGTGTCTGGCACCAACTACATCAATTGCTCCCACAATTCCCAATGAGTGAATGTGCAACTCTCTTACTGATTGACTGACTTCACACCAGCCAATTAGAGCTTAAAATGTCGAATTAAGCCAGAGATGGAGCCATCAACTTGCTGCATTCCGAGCCCTGTTAACTCACCTAAACAATAAAATGATGTCAGGTATCGATTAGCACTGGGAGTAGCTAGTAAAACCAGAATAAAGCACTTTGCAAATATAAAACACTCCAGGAATATTAACAAGGATAAGCAAAAGGTACATCTAGACTAAAGAAAAAGTCAAAACCTGTACAAAATTCATACATAATTCTTTCTAAAATCCTCTTTCAACATATATAGTTCTGAATTTACTTTCTGTCTAAATAACACTAAACATACCTTACATAGGACTCTACCACAAATGGTTTCCATATTTGTTTTTTTGCGATTATCACTGACCTGTGTTGTTTACGAGACAACTATCAAGACAGCTCTATTACACTCGTTTAGCCACAATTCACAATTAATATGTGCTTCTTTCTCAACTCCCACATAGATATCATAATTACTCCCCACTTCCCTCCTCTAAGAACAATAAAACTGCTCACTTCTAAAGCATAATGATGGTCATTTTCAAGAACAAATGATAGAGAATATTTACTGATTTGCCTTAAAATCAGATAGTTCACTTACGAAAAGATTAAAATTATCTACCCCAAACACTTTTTTCATTGTAAAACTAGCAATTGCAAATAAAAGAAATTTACATGAAGAGATGTTGGAACCTGCCTTGTTTTAGCCAAGCACTAATTATAAACGGCACAGCATACAGAGACACCGTCCTAGTCTGTCCCAAAAGCTATAGCTGCATTGGACCCTGAGATAGTATTTAGCAAAGAGGCATTTTAAGAAAGTCAGCATGAGGGAGAAGAAAAATCTTCTCAGGTAGGTGTATGTTATTAATCATAATTAAGGCATATTTGACAGCTTCTTGGCAACAGAGACGATGAGCTCCTTTCTCTGACATCAAAATCCTAAAGGAATACTTGCTATTTCATTATCAACTTCACTGGTCTTTACACCTATAATATCCACTTTGAGAATATGAGGTCTTAGTGAAACCTAAGCTCTGACAATTACTGTTTGCCCACCGCTGACACCACGTAAGGTACAACAATAAGCTGGGATCTTACTAACATAAAGTACAGGGAACCATGCTGGGGTTAAAATGTGAGTTTCAGGAAAACACATGGCCTGTCCCATAATGCATTTCCACTGAAGGGTCATCCTTCAGAGTTGTTGGTTTTTGTCTGTGCAGGTGGCTCTGCACTTTTGATTTCCCATTAAATTGGAAAGGGAGCACTTGGTTCCCACTGCAATGGCATCCTCTGATAAGATGGTGAGAAATGGGAAATGGACCCGTTTTGAGAGATAAACTCATTTTAATAAAACCAAACAAGAGACATGCTTCCATTTAATCATGCCCAATTTCATTAATGCGTTTTCTAAAATGATGCCACTTTGGAAAGGTTCTTATGATGGCTAAGTGTTAGAGGAAGCATCACCAGGATTTCTGCTTGGTGCCTTTGCAGGTGATTTCAAGGAATTTATTCTGGATCATCTACTGATCACAAGCCGAGTTTCCCTCGGGCCCAGCTGGGAGATTTGGCCAGTTCTGTGCAGATCCCCAACTCATGTTCTACTGTTCTCTTTCACAGAAAACACGGGTTTAAGTGACCTTTGCCTATTTGGGCACCTATTTAATGGCATAGGTCGAGCTTTAGATGGTTTTTTTTTTTTTTTTAATTCTTATGTTAATCCCCATACATTACATCATTAGTTTTAGATGTAGTGTTCCATGATTCATTTTTTGTGCATAACACCCAGTGCTCCATGCAGAATGTGCCCTCCTCAATACCCATCACCAGGCTAACCCATCCTCCCACCCCCCCTCCCCTCTAGAACCCTCAGTTTGTTTTTCAGAGTCCATCGTCTCTCATGGTTCATCTACCCCTCCGATTTCCCCCCCTTCATTCTTCCCCTCCCGCTATCTTCTTCTTCTTTTTTTTTTTCTTAACATATTTTGCATTATTTGTTTCAGAGGTACAGATCTGAGATATAACAGTCTTGCACAATTCACAGCGCTTACCAGAGTACATACCCTCCCCAGTGTCTATCACCCAGTCACCCCATCCCTCCCACCCCACCCCCCACCCCAGCAACCCTCAGTTTGTTTCCTGCGATTAAGAATTCCTCACATCAGGGCGCCTGGGTGGCTCAGTTGGTTAAGCGACTGCCTTCGGCTCAGGTCATGATCCTGGAGTCCCGGGATCGAGTCCCGCATCAGGCTCCCTGCTCGGCGGGGAGTCTGCTTCTCCCTCTGACCCTCCCCCCTCTCATGCTCTCTGTCTCTCATTCTCTCTGTCTCAAATAAATAAATAAAATCTTAAAAAAAAAAAAAAAAAGAATTCCTCACATCAGTGAGGAGCTTTAGATGGTTTTCAAACAGTATGTTTCTATTTGGAGAATGATCCCAACCATTCTCACATTTTTCCCTCTTCCTTATTCTCTCTCTTAAACTGTCTCTTTCTCACCACATTCTTCTCTCTTTGCCTTTGGTTTGACTCTATTTGTTCTACTATCCTTCTCTCTGTGTTTTTCAGTCCTCTTCTCTCATAATGTCTTTCTTCATCAGTGCAGGCTGAGAAGCATGGGGGTCAAGTGAAGATAAATGGTTTTGTCTCCATTATGTAAGTAAATTGAAAGAAAGTAAAATTTAAAATTGTAATTACTCAGTTTTCAGCTTAATTCTTCCCACAGAGATCTAGAAGTGGAATCTGTGATATTCTGGGATTGGAAGGGACCTCAAGGGGAAACAAACAAGTTAACTTCCTTCATCAAGGCCGGGTGCTCCCCAGATCAGTTATTCATTAATGACTGGTTTCTGCCCCTACTAACTTAACATCCTTTAAATATACCTTTAAAACATACCTTTAAATATGACCTTCAAGATGTTAAAATCACCACCTCTGCTGATTTGGGGTTTTATTGTCTACTCTGGGCCATATCTCATCTTAGTGAGATCCCACAGGATTCAGCAATTAGCATGAATACAGCAGTTTAATAATCAAAAGTAATTAATGGCATCAAAACAGTCCTGCCTGCTTCTGAGGACTTGTTACACAAATCTTGAACTTTCTTTTTAAATGAGTACTTTAAAAAAGATAAAATAAATGAGGATTTTATTCCTGTTAGAAAATTATCTACCACAAAATTCTTAGATGGAAAACAATTCAACTTGATATACTGACATGTTTAAAATAACACTGGAAAAGTGACTCAATATACTAATTGGCAGTAAGTTCTTAACCCACTAATAATTAATAATTCTAATAAAAGAAATACTAACATTGTTCTCTGCAACTATATAGAGCACAGGAAAGTTATGCTTCCTTTAAAAAAAAGTAAAATTGTAAAATAGGGATTCTGTCAAGTGTCAAATGAAAATTTAAGAAAAATTACTGTTATTTATTTTTTTTCCAAAACTCTCATTTAAATATTGCTGAGGAAAGGGAAAGGGGAGGGAGATACTTTATTGTAAGTGTTCAATTTACTATGAATCAATTTTTTAAAAATTCTAAAGTTTCTCATAGCAAAAGAGAAGTGTAGGGAAAGAAAAGTTTTCCTCAACCTTCTTAGGGTTCCTAGCTAGATCTAAAAATTAAACTGACAAAGATTAACAGGAGAAAAGCTAATAAGTTTCTAAGTGACTCTGGTGCCTTCAGAAGGAAATGAAGACCCAAGGAAACAGACCTGAGTATTTTTATGCTAGGTTTGATGAAGAGTGGGCAGTCGTGTAGAAGTATGATAGATCAGAGAATATAAGGTAAGTGTGGTAAACTGGGGAAAACAGCAAGGCCTGTTTGTTCAGATTCTTCTCAGCATCTCCTTGTCTTTGGAGATAAGGATACTCCTTTTCTCCAGGTTTAGGGAGGGCACCTCTCACAGGAGGGTTTATGACCTGTTTCAGGGAAGAAGGCCAAGGAGAAGGTCAGAGTGACCTTCCTGCTTCCGCCGTTTTCTCATACTCCTTCAGGTTAAAATATTCAATATGCAAAGGTCCCATATTTTGGAGTAGTATGTCCTGAGTCCCAACAGAAGTAAATATAGGTTTTAGTTTAAACAGATAAATGCAATTCTTACCTGAGAACTCTGGATTCCCTTTAACAAGTCACTGCTCATCATGTCATTGGTGAAGTTGATCTTGTCTTCGTATCAACAGGATATGCAGGGTAAAGATTAGGGGAGCATGTTACCAAATATTCAAGCTTTCCTCTCCCCAGGGGAACTTTATTTTTGAACTGATTTTCATTTAAAATGTCCCCAGTTTTAGATAGACTGAAGCCCAGCACACATGAGCCTTTACAGTTCTCCACATCTGTAACTCATTTCCATTTCTTAAAAAATTGATGATGTTTGCTTTAATGCCAAAATCCCCCCTGACCACAAGGGATGTTAGCTTCAGGCAGCTTGGTATCATTATTTAAAAAGCTAACACGTGGACTTTTAGAGTAGAACCAAAAGTGAGAGGAATGAGGTGACTAGCTGCTGTAGAAATGAGAAGCTCTTTAGAAGCTCTCTGGAAGCTTCCATGTTTGGCATTTCTATTTCTAGTACCACTAATATTAAGATAAACATCAAGTTTGGGCAATCTGAACAAACCTCTGATGTCATCTACTGATCTTCAAGACCAATTGGAGTATATGCATAAGTTGTCCTATCAAGGATTTAAAGTCTCTCTGGTATAGGAAAACCTAAAAAAATACTTTTTTAAGTGTACTTTATTTTAATCATATTTTCCATCTGTTTTGTGTTCAAGAAATAAATGAGAATAACTTCTGAAGCTTAAAGCAACTGAAAGGGATTAACAATGAAAGACAAAGGAACTTGGATGCCATTTCTCTAATCCAGGGAAAGGGAAACATGTAAGTAATTTGCTAATTTCTTATAAGGAACTAGGTAAGTGTGTATCTTCTAGTTTGCCCATATTACTGTCTACCAACAATAATATATTTCATCCAGGTTGAAGATAACACATATAAGAAACAAAAACAGACTAAAACCTTAATATTAAAGTATTTTCAATATTTTATAAAATTGGGGGCTTTACATGGCATTTGCAGGCATTCATATATGTACTTCTTTTATAGCTGTAGTCATATAAAATGAGCATTCCTTAAGTTTCCTTTGAAGAAATCTCAAAGGTTATCTTAGTTATTAAATATTTAATGGAAACAAGGATAGAAAACTACTTAACAATCAGAAATGTAACTTGCCATTCATTTTGTCAAAGCTTAACATTTTGCCATATTTGCTTCAGACCTTTTTTCTTAAGGAAATAAAACATTACAGATATATAGTTGAGGCCCCTCAAGTATCCCAATCTATTTCATTGCCCCCCTTCAAAAATAACAACAACAACAACAAAACAATAATCAACTCTAATAGAGCTAAAGCCACAACAGGTCCTCTTTAAAATGGTGTACCCATATGCTCTGTCATCAGCAGCTTGTAAGAGGACCAATTTCTTCATTTTAGGATGCATAATAATGGTTTGTCATCCCATCCAATAACACATTAGAGAGTCTTTATAACTCAACACAAAGGAAGTTAAGCTTTAGGCATCAGTGATAGGCAGATACGGAAGACTAAGGCAAGTGGCCTTTTATATCTCACATAGTTGTTATTTTAAAATATTCCCATTACCTCTCTAATCCTCCTTATTCATTCCCCACTCTTGTCAGAGTGATCTTAAAAACCAAATCTGATCATGCCACTCCCAATTTTAAACTCCTGGGTACCTTCCCATCACATTAAGGAGAAACTCCAAACCCTTTAACCCACATGGCCAAAAAAGACCCCTCAGTTTGCTGCTTGTCCTCTGTACTAGCCACATTGACCTTCTATCAATTTTTTTTAAGATTTTATTTATTTATTACAGAGAGAGAGAGAGAGCATGAGAGGGGCGAGGGTCAGAGGGAGAAGCAGACTCCCTGCTGAGCAGGGAGTCCGACGTGGGACTTGATCCCAGGACTCTGGGATCATGACCTGAGCTGAAGGCAGATGCCTAACCGACTAAGCCACCCAGGCACCCCCTTCTTTCAATTTCTTAAAGGCACCCTGCCCTTCACTTGTTTCTTTCACTTGAAATGCTCTTTCTCCTCTGTAGTTAGCCAGCTCTGAGTCATCTTTTAGTTTTCAGGTTAGAATAGAAAAATTTTTCCCTGGCTTCTCCTCACATCTTATAATCTTATTAAATCTCTTGGGTTTTTAAAATCATAATTTGCAAGCACATACTTATTTGTATTTGTTCAACGCCTATTCTCTTACTACACTGCAAGCTTCATGAAGATGGGGACCTTGATTTTTTTTTTCTCTACTTCTAAATTTATCAGCATAGTGCCTATCTATGATATAATCAGTAATTATTTATTGAATAAATGGGTGGAGATTCCCTGTTCCAGACCTCAGTATTTAAGGCTTTCTTTCCCAAAACTGTGTAATTGCCCTAATCCTTCCTCTTTTTCTCTACCAACTTACGTGTATCTCCTCTTCACTCTTCTCCTCTACTTCCTTCCCTCACACTCCACCCCACATCTTTTCTCCCATTTAGAGAAATAATAAACTAAGGGTTGGTAATAACAAAGTATGCCTTATGTTGATGATATTAATTCTAGTCTACTTCTACTAAGTATTGCAAAATAAATTGTCCCTATTACATTGCATATATGCAATGAAAGATTTATTTTAAATTTTAGAAGGATCTCCTTTGAAGATACCTTAAGAATATCTCCATGGGTTAAAGATGACTTTAATAAGCAAAATGGTCAAACTAATAAACCAAATAGCTATTCTGCAAACATGGAATGAGCCAAGAATGCTCAACTATAAGCGTGAAGACAATGCCAGTCCAACAACAACAACCAAAAAGAGTGGTTTTGAACAGAATTGCAAGGATCATTAACTGCAGCTGAACAGTCATGTTCCCACAGGAAGTTCTTACAAATATGATACACCATCTTGTCATCTAATATTCAGAGATACATTTAGAGGTTTAAAATTGGATTTTGATTCCTGATATAAAAATTTCTCCAGTCATAGTTTGAAAGAAAAAGAAACAGAGGCAGCAAACAGTGGAACATCACCAAATTCCAAGCTTAAAATTAAATAAGTCAATACTCTGAAAAACTTTATTTTTCAAAAAGTGATCAATGTTTTTACATATATTTTTCAACCTCCACTGTTTACCCTCACAAAATCCTACCAAATTAATCCATGTTTCCTTTTCTTGCATGAACTCTGGATATGACTTCAATGCAATATTAGAACTCATGCCTCTCTGTATTCAAAACTGAGATGTTCTCAGGGACACCTAAGTGGCTCAGTCGGTTAAGCGTCTGCCTTCAGCTCAGGTCATGATCCCGGGGTCCTGGGATCAAGCCCCATACTGGGCTCCTTGCCCGGCAAGGAACCTGCTTCTCCCTCTGCCTGCCACTCCCGCTGCTTGTACTCGCTCTCTCTGACAAATAAATAAATAAAATATTTAAAAATAAACTGAGATATTCTCAAAATTGGAATAATTGCACTGAGAAAGAGAGCAGAGGCAAACTGTTCCTACCCCCAAAGAGCTAAAGCTACAAACAGAAAACACAGCATTGAATCCAAAATCCAAAATCCAAAATTTGACTGGACGATGGTACTAGCTATGTTCTTCTGGGACCTTTATTTAGTTGTCCAGAAACCCACAATCCCCACTCTGTTCAGAGAGATACTCCAGAGCAAGGAATTACCAGACTTCCAATTTCCTTACTATTGCTTCCAAACCAGTGATTAAAAGAGAAGGGTGAGAGAGGGGGATGAAGGATCCTCCAGTGAAAACATTAAGACTCATTCATGGGCGCCTGGGTGGCTCAGTTGGTTAAGCGACTGCCTTCGGCTCAGGTCATGATCCTGGAGTCCTGGGATCGAGTCCCGCATCGGGCTCCCTGCTTGGCAGGGAGTCTGCTTCTCCCTCTGACCCTCCTCCCTCTCATGCTCTCTGTCTCTCATTCTCTCTCTCTCAAATAAATAAATAAAATCTTTAAAAAAAAAAAAAGACTCATTCATGCATTTATTTATTCCACAATCATTTACTGAGTTCTCATCATGAGCTCGAACACTCTGTTCACAAGGGATACAATGGTGAGTAAGAGATTCCCCACCTTCATGAAACCTGTTTAGGGATGGAAGATCAACACAGATCAAACAAATGAATATAAATCTACAAACTGTAGTGAGTGCTTGGAAGGAAACGTATATGCTCCTATAGGAAATTATAAGGGGGAGCAGACTTTGTCTGGATTTATAAATTAAAAAAAGATGAATAGGTATAAAAAGATCAGGGAGGGCACCTCCTTGGCACAGGGAATGGCAAGGGCAAAGGGCCTGAAGTAGGAAGGTGTGCAGGACAGCACACCTACTATGTCAAGAAGTATTCAAGAGGAAAGAGACAGAAATGAAGTTGAAAGGTAGAAGGTCAGGTCCAATCACCAAGGGCCTTGGAGGCCATTGTAAAGATTTTGGTCTTTGGGGTGCCGGGGTAGCTCAGTTGGTTCAGCGTCTGCCTTTGGCTCAGGTCATGATCTCATCGAGCCCCAGTTGGGCTCCCTGCTTAGCAGGGAATCTGCTTCTGCCTCTCCCTCTGCCTTTCCCCCTGCTTGTGTTCACCCTCTCTCTCTTTCTTGCTCTCTCAGATATATAGTAAATTAAAAAAAAAAGATTTTGGTCTTTGTTCGAAGAGGAAGTTGAAAGCCACTGAAAGGTTGTGACTAGTGACATTCATTATCTAAGTTCTCAGATCACTCTGATTGTCATGAAATATATTCAAAGTGAGTCAAAGAACAGAAGTGGAAAACCAGTAACAACATGATCTGATGTGTAATTTTTAAGGTCATGGGCTACCATGTATAGAATGGGCTGGAAGGAAGCCAGAGAGCCCATGGGGACATGAGTTCATTGGCAGGTGCAGCCAACCAGGTGAAAGGTGCTAACAGTCTGGGCCAGGAGGGATATGCCAGGAGAACTGCCATGGCGACATGTGAGCTGGCTCACTCCTACTCTCCCCATGCCCGGGCGCTGCTTGGGTCCTAAAAGGACTGCCCTCCAAAACATCTATATGCACTCTGAAGAAAGAAGCTCCTCTTTAGAAAGACTCCCAAAAGACAGTAGT